AAACCTAATATTAATTGGTCTAATCTAATTAGGCTCAATTACATAATAATCCAATTTGCTTAGGTGTGTGACCCTGTAGGATCGTATGATATTAGCAATAGGCTTTCAGGCCCATAAGCTATAAGTGGTTTCTAGCAAAACATTATAACNACCTAATATGATANGATTNTCTAACCTCGANATTTCAACTNTAATAAGAGTAAAGTACAAATGATTTCAGGACATTCCCAACAGAAAAACCCTACCTTGGTTTTACGAGTCTTTGCTCCATACATGGCTTAGCTCTATTAAAGCTGGTGCTCATGGTGTGCTTTTGCTTGATGGCTCGGAAGTGACACATTTGAATAGACCGGAAGACAAGTTCTTGGACTGGATCTTTAATCCAATGATGGTACTGAAAGATCAGATTCGTGTGATTAAACTTGGAGAAAGTGAAGTTAGGTACTTAGAGAAAATTGTTCTTTTTGGAAACCATAAACAAAGGATAGAAGCTTGGGATAATCGCGGTTACACGCTTCAAGAAAACCTTCGAGCTGCTCAAATCCAAGGAATTAGCAGAAGGTAAAGATTCAAAACTTTTGAACATAGAAAAGGTTAAACTTTAATAGCTTCTTTGATTACTGAAACTTGCGTGTGTTTTGTAGGATGATGGGAATTATACGGAGCGTATCAAAGCTTCCTACTTACAGGAGAAGATTCAGGCAAGTGGTTAAGGCTCTAATAACGTATTGGTCAGAGAAACAAGGCTTGAATCGAAGCGGTTCGATGAGTTCTGTAGATTTCATTCAAAAATCCTCTCTTTCTTCTTGCCAAAAATCAAAATCACCCTAAACAAAATATTCTCTTTGCTATTTATATCTTCATTCATCACTGCGTTTTTTCTTAACTATTATTTGTTTTCCTTTTTAGAATTACTTTTATGTAGTTTCTTCTTAACAATTTTGATTGATTTTGTTGTAGTATTCGTTTTTTCTATTTATATTAACTTCGTGTTACTGTTTTATATTTTGTAGGTTTCGTGGGTTTATATTAAAATTAAGAAGTATACCAAAATGATCTTCTCTATTCTTTTTTATTTTTTTGAAACTTATTAGTAATTATTAATGTTTCTTGCGTTAAACAAAGATCTGATTTGATTTATTATTTTCAGATTTGGTATACTTCCCGGGCACCATATCTTGAAAAAGTTGCAGTCGTTTTTTGTAAACATGGTTTATTTATCTTTCTAATCGTTTAAATATTTTTTTTCATCAATTATTTTTTTGTTATTTTTCTAATTATGTTATGTGTCTTTGTTCTTCTCTCTCTATATCTTTTTTTTTTGTCTAAAAAAAATCGAGAATTATATATAGTAAAATAAAAAATCGAGATTTAAGTTAATATTTTCATTAAAGGTAACACGAGTATTTAACATCTCTCCTTCTCTCTCTATATCCAAACATATTATAATTATAAAAAAATTAGGTTGTGATCGTGGTGGTTGTTTGATTGATGACATCGATATGGTTTGTTCGAGTGGATCGGATTGTGGTGGTTTAAAGC